GTTTCTGGACATGTGCAGATATGGTCATCTGCTTCTGTTTTTTGGGTATCTTCAGAGGTTATCTGTGACCTTAATACTCAGATAGGTGTGTATTTTGATATTTTTCTTATGCTTTCTGATTGCCTCCAGGTAGATGTGATCAGGAAATGGGCCTCCCTTTTCACTCTCCTTCTTGAGAAATTTCAAGATGCCACTGTTGTTCGTTTTGACGTAACTTAGGATTTAATTTTCAGCCTATTTCCTTTTTTTGTCTGCCTGTCCCACTCCACAATCCCCATTAAGGCCTTTTTTCTAGTTGTTAACAGTTCAGGGCCGGCTGTTGCAGTTTGGTTTTAATTGGAAACTTTCTCTTTAAATTTCAAGGAGATCTGTGCACATGTGTAGTAGAACCCTCCGAGGGTAGGGCTGGGGTGCCCACTAGCTCAGGCACCCTTATAGTCACCCGAATGGAGGTGTGCAGATAGCAAGGAACCAATAAACAGATACCAAAAGAGAAGAATGTCCACACCTTTATCTCTGCAGTTCTGCCAGCATCTGTGGCCACTCCAATCCTTCCTCCCACTTGGTCTCACCCAAGATGGTGGCTCCTCGAGCAGCTGAGCATCTCAAATTAGAAAGCAGGGGATTTCTTGCTTCTGCCACAAATTCCCCCAACTGTAAGCCTTCCAACCTTCTAAATATTCCTTTATGTGTGGTTCAGAGTTCTGGGACCATCCCCTGAGCCTGCTTGGTTGGGTAATCTGTGTTGTTGCTGGCGGAGCTCCTTTACTGCACTTCCACCCAATCTGCCATCTTGTTTGTTCTCAAACCTTCCTTTCAAGGCTAGTAATTTAGAGAATTAGTCCACAAAATGCTCTGCTTTCTTTTCTCAAAAAAAATAAATACTTTAAATAATTTTTTCCATAACAGCAATTCAACATACCTTTGACTTTTTTTCTTGTTTCATCATCAGCAGTTTTAGTAGTCGGATTGTTAAATGCTCTTAGAATGCTGGCTTGTATTCTCTGTGAAACACAGTTAATAACAATTTCACAAAATATCTATACTACAATGTATTATTCAATGCAATACATTGTGATTATTTGAACAGAACCTGGTCTGTTAACTTAGATTTTATCCACATAATAATAATAAAAAAAACAGCAAGGTACAATGTGAATCTAAGTTCCTACTCTGCAAAATAAAATGGCTGAATTTAACAAACAAAAAAGTCCTTTCCTCACAGAAAACTTTCAAACTGAAACAGAACTCCATATTACAAAAACAAAGATTTATTTAAAGTTAATAGATAATCATCTTTAATACAGACGGAGTCCATACTGTAAACTACAAGGTCAGTGGTTCCAGCCTACCAGCCACTCTGTGGGAGAAAGATGAGGCTTTCTACTCTTGTAATGATTTACAGCTTCAGAAACCCTATATAGGGTCACTATGAGTTGGAATTGACCCTATGGCAGTGGGTTTGGTTTTGATCCTAATCAAGACTTATTGGATTAGAAAAATCTGCTACAAAAGATCTCTTTAAAGTGTTCAAGAGCAAAGATATCAGTTTAAAGACTAAGGTGCGCCTAACCCAAACCATAGCATTTTCAATCGCCTCATAGGCATGTGAAAATTGGATAAGGAAGACCGGAAAAGAAATGATGCATTTGGATTATGGTCTTGGAGGAGAATATTAAAAGTATCATGGACTACCAGAAGAACAAATATGTCTTGGAAGAAGTATAATTACAATGCTCCTTAGATGCCAGGATAGAACAATTTCATCTCTTGTACTTTGGACATATTATCAGGTGGGACCAGTCTCTAGAGAAGAAAATCATGCTTGGAAAAGTGAAGGGCCAGTGAAAAAGGAAGACCCCTCCCCACCAACAAGATGGACTAACAAAATGGCAGCAACAATGGGCTCAAATATAACAACAATTGTGAGGATGACGCAAGACTGGGCAGTTTCTTTCTGTTGTGCATGATGGAGTCGCTATGAGTTGGAACCGACTTGATAGCACCTAAGAACCTGGTGCTGTAGGATAAACACTATACTGCAAAGTCAGTTGGAACTTCAAGGTCAGCAGTTCAAACTTACCAGCCACTCCTCAGAAACCCTATACAGGGTTACTGTGAGTCGGAACCGACTCAAAGACACTTAGAACCAACAAACAAAAAGGGACAACAAAACTGTTCAAAATTCTCTAATAACTTACCCTGTGTTTTGTCAGTATAAGATCAATCCCCAAGCATTCAAAATGTTACTGATAAATGTCATGTTACAACAACAAAAACAATTCTACTGAAAGAAATAATCAACAGGCAAATACATCAAGTTGAATAAAATGAATGGGGTCAGTCCCATATACAACACTTCATTGCTAAGAGTTATGCTATAACTTATATTGGTTAAAAAAAATAAAGAAAAACATTGGTTAAGAGCTGCTAGCAACTGTAGCACATTAACCAACTAGCAGTGACAAGGTTCAACTATTTCAATTCTCCATCTTAATCTTCTTTCAAAAACAAGAATACAAATAATTGTGTAGTTTCAGTTAGCTGATATACTCAGTCTTTAAAATCCTTCTATACAACAGTGTATTCAATATATTAAAGTGATATATCTATGAGAAGATAATAAAACAATTTTATTTAGAAAGTGAGAAGTTGAAAGCTAGGAAAAAACTGAAGCACACATTTGGTTGGTTGAAAAGATTTCTTATAAAATAATGATGTGAGAAATTTGATTATCCTTATTTTGAACATAAAATTTTACCAGTTTCTTTACAAATGATTCCTTTAGCACTGTATGTAAGCAAAAATTATACTCCTCAAGTTTACATTCATTTTAAAAAAACAACACCTAATAAAACAAAATAAAAGGAGATCAGTCATTTTTAATCATTGCTAAAAGATTCTGGTGGCAGACATTACCCTGTATTCTTTCTTTAATCAAAAAACACATGGCAGTGACAAGCTGTTAACAACAGCACGATGAACAGCTGTGGTGTTCCCAGGCCAGACAATGCAGCTCAATGGGTACTCACTGTAACAGAGCGCCATGACTGTCCTTGCTTACAAGACTGAATAGATCCATACACCTGACATTTCATTTTGTCACACCATTTAAAGCCTTCAAGTAGAGGAAGGTAAGAGCATTCAAAGCCAGTGTTTCCTGCTATATACTGCCTGTGTTTTTAAGGTAGTGTGTATCCTAATGTACCATAATGACAAAAAGAGTAATTAAACTGCAACAATGATTGTCATCAAGTAATAAGCAAAGTGAGGGGAGGGATGATAGGCATAGATTTTATTGTTTTGTTTTAAATATCAAAAGAAGAAAATAATTCAAAGAGATACGCTTAAATTCCAATGACAATACCTGACCCACCATATAGTAAACATATTCTTGCAAATCCTAAGAGAAAAAATCATCTCCCCCCAAAATCTTACAACTAGTATAAGGGTAAGTAAAAAAGTATTGTTATTACGGTTCTAGTTCACACATGCATGGGTTAATTGCCAACAAAATGTGTTTAAACATGTCCCTGTGATCAGTGGATGGCTGCAGGCAGGTTTTCTCAGTACAACACTTGTCTAAGTCTTGCCACAACCATACATTGACAGAGAACTTCCAGAAGTTCAAGATGGATTCAGAAGAGGACATGGAACAAGGGGTATCATTGCTGATGTCAGACAGATCTTGGCTGAAAGCAGAGAGTAGTATCAGAAAGATGTTTACCTGTGCTTTATTGATTATATAAATGCTTTAGACTGTGTGGATCAAGACAAGCTATGACAACACTACGGAGACTGAGTATTCTTGAACACTAAATTGTGTTCATGAGGCATACACCAAGAGGCAGTTGTTTGAACAGAACAAGAGAACACCAAATGGTTTAAAATTAGGAAAGGTTTGCGCCAGGGTTCTATTCTTTTACCAGACTTTTTCAATCTGTATGCTGAGCAAATAATTTCAGATGCTGGCTTATATGAAGAAAAACGTGTCATCAGAATTGGAGGAAGACTCATTAACAACCTGCGATGTGCAGATGATACAATCTTGCTTGCTGAAAGCGAAGAGGACTTAAAATAAAGATCACAGCCGTCAGTATGGGTTGCACCTCAATGTAAAGAAAACAAAAATCCTCACCACTAGACCAAGAAATAACATCCATATCAATGGAGAAAAGACTGAAGCTGTCAAAGACTTCATTTTGCTCGGATGAACCATCAACACTTATGGACACAGTAGTCCAGAATCAAATGATGCATTGCATCAGGCAAATGCACTGTATAAGACCTCTTTAAAGTATACAAGAGCAAATATGTCAGTTTGAGGACTAAGGTGTGCCTGATCCAATCCATGGTATTTTCAGTAACCTCATATGCATGCGAAAGTTGGACAGTGAATAAGGAAGACCGTGGAAGAATTGATGCTTTTGAGTTTTGGTGTTGTAGGAGAATATTGAAAGTACTATGGACTGCCAAAAGAACCAACAGATCTTGTTGGAAGAAGTACAGACAGAATGCACCTTGGAAGCCAGAAGGCTAGACTTTGTCTCATACTTGGGACATATTACGAGAAGGGACCAGTCACTGGAGAAGGACATCATATTTGATAAAGTGGGGAGTTGGAACAAAAGAGGAAGACTCCCATAATGAGATGGATTGGCACAATGGCAGCAGCAGTAGGCTCAGGTGTAGCAATGATTATGAGGTTGGTGCAGGGTTGGGCAGAGTTTTGTTTTGCTGTGCATAGAGTTGCTATGAGTCAGTACTGACTCAACAGCAACAACAGTCTTCAAAAGGGTGCCTTCAAAAAAAAGTCCAATCACAACAGTGGCTTATGTGGGAATCCTGGAGGCCCTTTATATTCAAGGCAGAAAGTTCAGCTCAGAAAGCTATGGCGACTGTTTTTTGGAATTCCAAATAGGTGCTCTTGATAAATTTTCTTGAAGGACACAGGACAATCACAGGAGCTTATTATAAAGGCATTTTAAGAAATTTGAAAACTGTATTAGTGAGAAAAAAGCAGTAATCTTGCTCCTTAAGAGTTCTCGTTGATCTCAAAACTCAGAAAACATTTAAGAGGAACATGATTTGAGTCAACCCAAGGATGTCCAAACTGCCCTTTTGACATTGAGGAGCACAGAATTCGTGTATGGAATAAGGAGATAGAAACATTGTTTTCAGAAGTGTATAGAGCTAGATGGACGATATATAGAGAAACCACATTTTCACATTTGTGATATTTTTAATAAAAGGTTTCATGATTTTGTAGCAATATTTAATTTACCCCTGTAGCTGTCAACCCAAGAGCAACATGTTACATTTACTATTCATAGCACAAGGATAATACAATCTTTCTCTACATTGTCATCTTGAATCTATCATCTATAACAAGAATATATAATAGTAGGATAAGTGCTGAACTGCTAACTGCCAGATCAATAGTTCAAACCCACCATCTACTCCACGGAAGAAAGTTGAGACTTTCTGCTCCCAAAGAGATTTACAGTCTCAGAAACCCTATGCAGGGTTAATAGAAGTCAGAACAAACCCAATGACAGTGGGGATAGCCTTACGGGACAGTAAATTTATGTTAATGGAGGAGGAACAACTTAGAAAAGGAGGGTGAGAATGCGCACAAACTTGAAGAATGTTATTCAATGACACTAAATGGTACATGTAGAAATTGCCTTCTCCCTCAGATATCATATATAGGGTTGCTATGAGTCAGAACTGACTCCATGACACACAACCTCCACCACCACCACCACCACAATAGTAAATTTGTGGAAAGATTGCACTATTTTTTAATGCCATAAACTTTTTGGAATATATATATATTTATATCACAGTTATTAAACTGGACTTAAGACATACCCAATTTCATAATGGTTCAATTTTAAATAGCAAGGTTTTTAAAATTTTAAAGCAACATTCATAATTACTGCTGGCAAACCAAGCATTAAAACTAAACTTTAATAAGTAGTGTGGCACAGTTAGAAAGACCATTAGTTTGGGAGTTCAAAAAACTTGGATTTGAATTTTCACTCTCAGTTTAAGTTTCTCTAAGAAAATGTGGTCAAATATTAACTCAAGGAATTGTACTAATGCTCCTAAAATTTAACTCATTATAAATCTCTTAAATGATTTATACAGTATATAGTATAAATTACAGTATAGAATACAATACAGTACTCTTACCAGTTTATTCAAAAAACAATATAAAATTCCCCAAACTAACAATGTTGTTGTTTTTGTCAAGTGCCTTTGAGTTGATTCCGGTTCATAGTGGTCCTATATAGGATTTCTGAGGAGTGGCTGGTGGGTTAGAACAACTGACCTTGTGGTTAGCAGTTCAGTGCTTATCCTACAGCACCATTCTGAATGTGTTTTAAAGAGTTGCCTGTGTTTAACCTATATGAACAACTTCTTCTGAGAATCTGAATTGGGAAGTGCAAGCAGGTTTTTAAATTAGTTATACTAGTCATTTCTTAAGAACTTGCTGTTGTTTTTAATATGTTATTAATACATTTAATATGTGGCATTGTGGGTTAATGTGCTGGACTACAAGATTGGTTTGAGTCACAAGGTTGGTGGTTCAAGCTCACATTCATTCCTCAGAAACCTATACAGGGTCGCTGGGAGGCAGAACCAACTCAATGGTCCCTAAAACAACAATAACCATTCAGACTGAGAAGCAGAAAAACTACTCAGGGGAATCTGCAGAGGAATCACTGAAAGAAATTTACAAAGCCAGAGAAATGAGGCAATAAATAGAATACTTTCTGGATTCTTGATAACCTTCCTATATGTTCCTCAAACTCACCTGTATTTCCCTACTCTTGGATTCTTATTTTTTCTTAAGTCACTTTGGATTGACTTCTGTTATTTATAGCTACAGAGTATTAAATGATAAATAAAGGGATACTTTTTTTACTAAAAGAATAATAAAAGTATCCCTTTATTTATCAGCTTACAAATAATAAAATTATGAAAGGGTGAAAGAAAATAATCTTATTCTCTCAAAAACACCAAACTCACATTCACTGAATTGAGTTTGACTCATAGTGACCCTGTATAGGGTTTCTGAGGCTATAAATCTTCATAGGAGCAGAAAGCCTCATTTTTTTCCCACGGAGAAGCTGGTGGTTTTGAATGGCCAAGCTTGCAATTGGAAGTCGAATAAAAGAATAGATAAAAGAGTTTTAAAAAAATCGACTTTACTTCTCAAACACACTTGAAAGTTATAATCGAAGTTTATTGTGCTTTCTTATTAAAGAAAGTATGTGATAAACATAAAGACACTTGACCTTTGTTTCTTCTATCCTGACTGCATCCAGAAGATAATGAAGAAGTTCCTGACTATCCTGCTGTTGGAAACCTTTAAATCGAGGGGCCCTATGATGCAAAAACAAACAGTAAAGAAAAACAAAGAGTAATCATTTCATGGCACATATGTTATGCTACTATCATTTAAACTCACTCTGGAATAATGTGCATTCAAAAATTACATTTATAATTTTTTCCACTTACTAAGACAAAATGTGAGTACTATTCCAAAGAAAGTAGGATTGTAAGTATACATTGAGAACATTTCTTTTAACATTTATTAAGCAATTACTATATGCCAAGCATAGGGTCGCTACAGGTCAGAACCAACTTGATGGCACTTATCAGCATGCCAAGCATGTAGTAGGAACTTTCCATATGTGACATCACATAATCCTCAAGGAACTAGTGGAGGTGATATTATCTCTACTTTATAAATGAGGGTTTTTTTTTTGTTGTTGTTAATTGCTGTCAAGTCGGTTCCAACTTACAGCAACCCTGGATAAGGTTTCTGAGGAGTGGCTGGTGGATTTGAACTGCCAATCTCGTGGTTCAAACCAACCTTGCTGTCCGTGCATTATCCTGCAGCAGGAAAACTAAGTTTATGTTAACAGTAGAATAATTTGGAAAAAAAATAGTGAGAAGGGTGCACTACTTGAAAAATCTGATCAAATGTCACTGAATTGTAAATACAGAAATTGTCGAGATGGTTTTGTATATCTCTCTATATACACACACACATACATATGTATGTATATATGTTTTGTATATATTTTCACTACAGTTACAACTGAAAAGTTTTTTAGAAGACAATGTAGTTGAATATCCCTATCATCTCAGGATTGAAATGTTTTAAGGCAAAACATACAAACTATACACAGAAAAAATAGAAAATTCTGGTAATAATACATCCATAGATAATTTACAAGAGAAGAAACCTGAATGGCCAAACAAAATATGAAAACAAGAAAATGTAATTTAAAAAAATGATGAGGCATTCCTTTAATTTAAGAAGTAAGTGTTGGTGAGGACAAGAAGAAATGGGAACTTTCATACTCTGCAATGTATTAAGTGTTCATTGTACGCCGTTGTTTTTAAGTACCGGTGAGTCAGTTTTAATTCCTAACAATACTGCATAGGATTTCTGAGGAGCAGTTGATGGGTTTGAACCACTGATGTTTGTGGAGAGCAGTCAAGCCAAACAGTCAAGCCTACAGAGCCAAACAAGGACCTTGTCTATCATATGTATCTCATTTAATCGTCACAAAAAACTATGAAGTTTATTATGAGTCAATCTCATTTAAAATTGAGGAAAAGTACGGCTTAGAAAAGTTAGGTGACTTAAACAAGATCACAGAGTAGGCCTGATGATCTACTGCTGAAAACTCAGCCAATGAAAACCGTATGGAGCACAGTTCATCTCTGACAAGACTCAGAAACGACTCAACAGCAACTACTGCTTCTTCGGTTTGCAGTGTACCGCACCTTCCATTCTATCTTGAGAGTTTGGTAACATTCATTAAGGTACATAAAACACCACAGAATATCATAAAATTGGGATTAAATGTCTTTTACTGACACCGTTCAACATACATTTTGTTGAGCTGATTACCTTTCCTTGTGATTATTTATATTAAAAAGGAAATGTACCCACTTTTGACAAAGCTGATTAAAAAGAACTTTAGGAGAAAGTGGTCCTCTTTCAGTCTCCTTCATGCTGTGAAGAAACAGGAACAAGGCTGAGGTCAGTGGTCCAGGGCTTGAAAGTTCCACCATTAACGGATCCTTTAAAAACATATTCAACTCTTAATCAGAAATACTGAAGTAGCATTTTTTAAAAATGTAAGAGTTATACTATGTTTAAATGATAGCAACAAAACTGCCCAAATGTATTAAGAACCTTTACTTCCTAACATATAAAATGTACATATTATAAAAATATGAAATATGATTAAATATCTTCCCTTGTGACACTGTAGGATCAGCAGTGGACTGCTAACTGCAAGATCAGAGGTTAAAAGCCACCAGCTGCTCCTTGAAAACCCTCTACAGGGTCACTATGAGTCGGAACCAACTTGATGGCATGTAACAACAACAATCCTTTAATTGTAAAACTATTAGCTTAAGAGTGAAATATCAATCTTTGTTTTAAACTGTCCATTAATGCACTGTCTTACAAGGAAAATTACTCATCTACTTGCATTTATAGAACTGCATAAATTATATGCAGTAGAAAAACTACCCACCTTTAGTCTTCCCAAATATTTAACTAATAAGGAATAACTAATTAGCTAAGATTATTAAATTGTTAAAAAGTATTTTTAGATTTTTAAATTGTTTTCAAAGTAATACACAGACTTCGTACAGATACACACACACTGCTTGCTTTGTAACTGAAATCCTTATTACTAGTGTGAATACCTTCCTGCCAAAGACCACCAGGAATAATGCTATAACTAATCAACTTGGGTTTATTATACATTTCAAAGAGGGAAAAAGCACATCAGGGGCAATGGTGGAGTGTCTCAGTTAGAGGGTATTAAAAATCCTCTCTTAAAGGATTAGCGGTCTGACTGGATTTATAGAAAGGACATAGGAAGCAGGGCTTCTCTCTATATTGGATGCTGTCAGAAAGTGAGGGGAATTCAAAGATTGTACACCTCTCTATATATCTCTCTATGAGGAAAACCTGGTCTGATAATAATATTGGGAAATGGATAGTGATAATCGCACAAGATGATATGAGTATAATTAATCTTGCTTAATTGTGCAAGCAAAAAATGTGGAAATGGCAAATACTTTGTTAAACACATACACAGACACACAGACACACACAACACAGATAGACTAACTGGCGACAATTTTATAAAAAATAGTAGCAGTTACTCATTTTGGAAGAAAGATGGACATTTGGGATTTTGTGGGTGGCAGAGTGACCTTACTTTCGTTTGTGTTTTGACAAAATTATGATGTAACCTTGCCTCAGTTTATCTTAGTCCCTGCATATCCTAGTGGAGGCTAGTGTTCTAAGAGCTGTCTAATAGAGTAACACGGCCCAGCTGTGAGTGCCAGTCCAGGTCGCTTATGAATATCAAGGGCTATTTTTTTTTTTCCGCAATAGCTTAAACATGCATCATCAGACTAGATTCTTAAAAACCTTTGGATGTTCACTACTAAATCTACCTTTAAGGAAAAAAATATTTAAGCATATGTCACCAGTAACTACAAAACAGGTTTTAAACACTTTGTTCAGCAAAAGTCAGAACTCATTGTTTTTCTTAGTATGTTTGTTTACCTGGGTAGTTTTGCATGTTTTGATCCATGATATGTTTGAACTATAATATAACTAAAGTTGTTTTTAGTAATCACACAATTTGATGTACACAAATACGGCTGAAATTTTTTTTAATCCTCTACCACTTCATTCTGTTTTGCATAGGGTCACTATGAGTTGGAACCAATTTGATGGCACCTAACACCACCACCACCAGCACCATCATATCAGTTGCTAGTTCTGAGAAATACTAAAGACAGTTTTTAGGAACATCAGTGATTGACTAGATAGTTAATTTCATACTCACCAGCTGAGAGTCTGAAGAAGGAAAGATTTTTAATTTTGTACCATTTTCTTTTATCTCATTCATCAGTTCAGTAAGAATGTAAGTCTGTGCCAAGTTCTAAAAGAAAACAAAAGGAAAGTCTTCTCCTGGTATTTATAATATGCCTCTGATTTTATAGAATAAAATGAAGACCAAATCCTTCAAATTTAACTTAGTGCAGCAAAAATATCTATTTCCAAAAAAAAACTTTAAAAAATTTTAATTAAATGCATATTACATGGCACTATGGGAAAGATGATGGGTGCATGTGAAGAAGTATGGCTAAAGATATCCTAAAAAAAAAAGAAAAAGAAACAGCTAAAGGAACATAAAGCATTCACGTTAAAAATGGAAGACAAAAGTGGCACACTTTTCTTGAAGATGTGAAAAATCTTTATGTCTAAACCAGTGGTTCTCAGCTTATACCTTTACATCAAAATTATCTGTGGCTGCTAACAAAAACAAATCAAAAGGTTTCTTTCCAGAATAGATGAACCTGAATGTTTTGACATAGAAAGCAAATTTCTCTACTGTTGCTTCATTTTTACAATTCCACATATGGTTCTCCACCACTCATTTGCATTACAGGGAGGGTTCAGAGTGGGGAGAGGGAAAAATTAATACAGTGTACAGATGTAAATACTGTTATCTGATGGTATATGCAAGGGATTACAATCATTGTAAAAGCACAAAATACATGATTTGTTGAATGTGGGACAGATGATCTATAAAGCTTTATTCAATTCACAACAAAAGAAATGCAACAAAAAGTTTACATTAAAAAAAGATTTTAAAAAGTCACTGTATGAAAATTTCTTCTATTTGTAATAATATCTTATATGCTCTAAGCTCAATAAGAATTTAACAACTACATAATGGTATTGTTGTTGTTAAATGCCATCATGTCCTGACTCACAGTGACCTGTACAGCGATTCCAAGGATATGAAGCAGCTGGTGGGTTCAAACTGCTGCTGACCTTCTGTTTGTAGTCTACTGCTTATCCTACAGAGCCAGCAGCTTCTGGATAATAACATTACTACCAGAATAAACAAATAGTCTATGAAATTATAACACTTCTACATGTTGAAAAACTTTCATCAAAATTCAATTTCATTTAGTATCATTTGCTTAGGATTGAGAACTACCAAATACTAAATAAACTATGAAGAAATTAAAATAACATTTTATATTTTACAAAACTTGCTTATGACTCTTACCTGCATGACAGCATTAAAAAAGCAAGTATTGCCTAAATTCGTAATTCCTTTCACAGATGTCACACTGCTGCCTTTTCTTTCCTTCCTTACATCACCTGGTTCACAGTTTTCTTCACAAAGTTTTATGATTCTAGAAAATGTACCTGTAAAGTCAGAGAAAACATAGCTGACATGAGTTATATCAGTTGACATAAATGAACTGCATTATTTTAAATAGAAAAAGATTTCCCCCTGTAATTAATATTCCTGAAGGACACATACAAACACAATAAATGTCTTTGTTTATTGTTAAATCTTATTACTAAAGCAATTCATTTTAATACACCAATCTGTACCTCATACACCATATTAAAAATAAATTTTAGATGAATCTAAAAATTAATTGTAAATGAATGAAGTCATAAAACAAGTAGAAAACAACAGGGCTCTGTGATGTAGGGATTGAGGCATTGTGTGAAGAGGAGAAATAGTATTAAGATGCTTGACTGTCTTATGAATATTGGTCTCCCTTGCCTACTATTGTAAAATAGTCACTTGAGTGGGATAGAAAGGAATGTCAGGATTACAGAAAGCTTGTAAGCCTGTCTTCAGCCTATAATTGATTGGAATACCTAAAAGGGGTTCTAGAACTTGCCCAGTGAAATAGGCCTCTTGCAGAGCCTTTGCAGTGTATAGGACCTTAGGTGGAATCCTGAGCTCCATCCAGAACATTCCCACTAGAAAGGACAAGCAGACCAGCCTGGAACAACAGAATGACAGAAGATACATCTTCAAAGAAAGATCAGAAAAAAACCAAAACAAAAATGGCAGTATGATTGGCTACTACAAGAATAAGCAAGTTGTTCGGCGGGAAGCTATCAAGGCAAGCAATCAAGTCCCTTCAGGACAAACTCCCCTCTAAGACTGAAACTCAAAGGGAACACATGAACAGGCAT